CGGTTGCATGCGCATTACGTACCCCGCACAGCAGGGCATATCGCTCGCCGCGTGCTGTCGTCGTCTCCGCATTGACCCAACCTGCAGGGGAAATAAATTGGGTGGGCGAGGGGCGCACTAACGCATGCATGCGCTCCCCTACCGATGGACGCCACGTGGAGTCCTGATGGCATCGCACGCTACGCTCCTCTCCCCGATGGACCGACAAACCGACGCGAGAACCACGACTCCAATTCCAGATGTGGCGCGTGCGATGTCGTCGGAATGAGTGGCGCGGGGCCGTTTGCTGTCATAGGCTCATAGCCTTTATCATCACAACATCACCTGCTATAAGATATAGCGCGCGTTTAGTTCCAAAAACTTTTCCCAAATTTTTTTGTTACAGTAGTTATTATATCGAATCTTGTGATATATGTATGGAACATTAAATGTAGACGAAAAAAAACTAATTGCATAGTTTTGGAAATCGCGAGACGAACGTTTTGAGCCTAATTAGTCCATGATTAAACACTAATTATCAAATAAAAACGAAAGTGCTACAGTAGCTAAATTCCTTAACTTTCCCCGCACCTAAACACGACGATACTATCACACAAAGGATAACGGACGCATACGCGTGAGAATTTGGACTGCCGGCGCACACTGACACTGTGCTGTTGGAGGCTGCCAGACTGGGTGACCGTACGTATGCGTATGGCGCTAGGCAGTAGGCAGCCATGGGCTCTATCGGTTCCGAACCGATGGATGTTGAACCGGCCAAGTCATGCAGAAACGTTTTTACTCCAAACGTTAGTTGCATTGCATCCGGTCCAAACCAAACATCTGGCCTTTTGGTCCCGAGAGGTGATGGCCATGTTCCAACCAGAATCCTCCATCATTGAACGTGCTTGTTGCCGGCTGCCGCTCGCGAGAGATGTCGGGGCCAGGCAGGTGAGGTGAGTGAAAAAGGTCACATGAGAACGAGACCCGTCACATATATAACCCATTACCACCTGTGAAGAGATCATGTGTAGATTAAATGCTTCGTATTCTTCAGGTGTTGCGTTTCTAGATCATCGTGTGCGTGTTTCGGTTTATTTAATTAGTACTACTATAAAACATTGTTTTGAACAGCTGACGCGACACGAGCGACGGTAAAATGAATGGATTATTGCCTGGCCTGCCGGTGAACAGAAGAGGTGTGAGATGCGGATGGTCTGTTTATTATAGCGGCCTTGGAGGCGCGCGATGGTACCGAGTAGCGACCTTACAGTGACACAGATCTAACGCTGATGTTATTGTGCCAATGCACTACTCCTTGCGACAAATAATTTCAAAAATGATGGGTACGACAGCGACATATCTATAGGCCTATGCATGTGATCTATATTCATCTTACAAAGACATTACTAGAAACGATGATTAAATGGCAATGGACAAAAGCTACAGAATACGTACAGTGGATCCGTTGCATATCCAGGGGAGTCATAAGCTTCTACGTACTCCCTACGTTCTAAAATATACGCCAACCAAGCTTATAAAAATACATCGACATAAAACACGAGTATGACCATAATTCAAAATCGCAAGTACTATTACTATATTATCGGCAGTGACAATGACACCGTAATAACTAAACTTTGACAGTGGTGATTTATATATAGCGACTACACTTCCAATTTGTAATAGTCGTTCAACTCGTGCTTTCACCTGGGCTATAACCTTAAAAGATACAAGTACGAGTCACGTTTTAATACATCTGAACTAATAAAAATTTCTTTGCACGTGGTGTTGAGACTATAGTGGCTCTGTTCGTTTTTCTTATAATCCGTACTTTTCAGTTTGTTTTTTCAGCCGGAACAGTGTTTTTCTCTCACAACAAATCAGCCGGAACAATATTTCAGCTTATTTTTTCAGCGAAGCGAACGGACCAGTATACCTTGGTCTGCGGCTTGGTGCACGGATATTTGTGGTAGATATCAGGTGATGACAGTTCTATCTATTCTCTGTATTCCATTACGTTTGGGCAAATTATTAAACCGCAGAGTTATTTGCATGAATGGTTTGACACCCTTCTCATCCCTGTCTCTGCCGGATCTGTCTTCCCATGCTAGGTGTGTGCTTACTAGTACGGTAGTACCTACGTGTGCTTAGTTATATAGCTATTGTATGATTGTTTAGACTAAGGTAGTAGGAAGTGTTAGTGGCTCCACTTATCTCGTTGTCCTCCCAACCAAGCCATCTACGTACCTTGTCCTTGTGAGACATTGTGTTTGTTGATCAATACCCTCAATATTTATCGACTTAGTCCTGATAGACTTTTGTACATTAATTATAATACAGTCAAGTCACATATTCATTAATATTCTTAGATGAGCTTCCCTGTGGATAAACAAATATGATACTTTGAAATACTCCTGGGTGAAGTACTACAACGATATTCTTTTCACTTACGAAATTATTACTTGAGCATAAAAAAATACCAACAGAGGTGGCACTTTCAAGGAGTAACTATAGAGGCACTTACTCCTCGACATAACGAGCGCAACAATCTATGGGTGGGTCTTGGTATTTATTTTTCTTCCTGCCATGCCTTAGATACCAGACCAGAGGGAGTAACTATATATAAGATGAGTTAGGAACCCCTCTTAGGGGTTGCACATATCATGGTCCCTAGAAACGGTCGACACTATGCTCTAGACACTTGAATTCTCTCCCTTTGTAATACCTACTGTAGACTTAAGCTCTTGATGCTCATGAACACGAACACTCTCACACTATACATAAGGTCTGTTGCTAAGCCATTCAAATCCACGCACGATGCTAAATTTACTAATTGATTTAAGATCGAGTCAAGCCTAATTAAATACACCAAAAATAGCTACTCATTATTGTTATTATCACGAGCATCTCATAGTAAATTGTAGGTCCCCATCGTGAGATATATAGACACATTTGCTATGAGCTGGATCTGCGTTAAATTCCTCTTGGCAGTACGCGGACGATAGTTTTATATAGAGTAGTGCGCCGGTACTCCATATGGGAAACTTTTCATAAGTGTAATTTACATTGAAAGAAGTAAATAGCCCACGTGTTGCTTCGAAGTATCCTATACTAGCTTTGTCCGTATGAGTTTTCGGAGTGCAATTAGAGACACTATTAAGTGACCACGTCAGTTCTTATCAGGCTAGTACTACGTCAACTTACCTGCCACGTCCTCAGCATCTTCCTTTAATCTTGCGCCACATTGCTGTGTCGTCGACGTTGAAGCTACACACATGCCGCCGCGAGGTGTCCATCCAGCTGCAGTGCCATCGACGTTGAAGCATCGACGCCGCGCACAGCACAACAGTGCACCGCGCGGGCCGTTCGCAAGAGGCGTCGCACCGCACGCGCGCTCAACTGCATCAGCGCGGGCGCACTGCTCTTTTTTTTTTTTTTTTTTTTACCAATAGGGATTCCATTCATTCGTCAAGGAAAAGGGGTATTACAATCTTCAGTCAACAGACGTTTAATGCAGATCGGGGCATACTGCCACTCACCCAATCACGATTCATCTGTGACCTGTTTAGCTAGAACATGTGCTACTCGATTACAAGCTCTATTTGCATACATCAGAGTAAAAGCTTGAAAACCTGAACTGCTCGTGGAAACACAGCCGCGTGTATCCGTGGGCATCGCTCAGTAACCCCGCGCGGCGCGCGCGCAGCGATCCTGCACCAGCACCGCCGAACAGTAAAATCTAGAGTACCCCGTGCCGTAGCTGCACTTGCATGGCGGATCCCCCGACCCTGGCGGAATCCGGCTGGACCAACGCGATGAATTGCTGCATGCCATACGGCGCTGTCGTGCCGGGCATTGACTCATCGGCCCCAGTGCTGCTGTTTCATCCTCGTGGCCGCATTGAAATCGGCACGTGCTCACCGCGCACGCGCAGCACCTCTTCGGCCCTCCTACGCGTCAGGGCGCTTGGCTTGGCACAGAGATAGCACGTTCGCAGTACTGTGACTGGAGTGCAGTCACTCACCGGCCAGCAAGGCCTCGTTTAGTTGCCCGGAATTGACAGTGGCAAAATCACTGCGCGGCACTGTAGTGTCACATAGCATTTCGTTTGTATTTGGTAATAATTGTCCAATCGTTAATTAATTAGGCTCAAAACGTTCGTCTCGCAAAGTACAACCAAACTGTGCAATTAGTTTTTGATTTCGTCAACATTTAGTACTCCATGCATATACCGTAAGTTTGATGTGACGGAAAATCTTCTTTTTGTATAGTACCCGAGTTTGTATTTTGGGGTAACTAAACACACCCTAAACTGATAAATGCCCGGTGATCAGAGACCGCGGCACCATTGGTCACGGCCGAACGGGGATGACCCCAAATTTAAGCCCCTTTGCCACGGCTCGTTCAAAACGGCTTCACCGGTGAAGTTAAAGTCGGTGAAACCAGAAAAACTAGCTTTTCCCGGCTTCCAGTTCATTTTAATCCTGACTTACAAAATAGCTTCACGCTACAGTACCTCGATTTACGCAAAATAGATGAAGCTGAAGCCGACATAAGCCAAGCCGTGCCAAAGAAACCCTTACTCTTGGTCGGATAAAAGCGGCCAGCGGTGGTTAAAATGGCCCCAGTCACATTTATGCATTGCCAGTGGCTGGGATGGGATTCTGGTTCTGGCATGCAATTTTCGCTGATGAAGCACGTGCCCTCACCGACTACAAAGCTCCAACACGACACATGGAAACACAGAGGACTGAGAGGAGTGGAGAAAACGAACATGCCCGAGACCAAGAGGTTCGTAAAAGCAACGGGGAGGTCAAACCAGCAACACAAATTCCTCGCAATCTGGCGCGCACACCACCCATCCTTAACACGAGACACCCCCTGGCGCCTGGTATAAAACGGCCTCCTCCGGGGACACGAGTCACAAGCACGCACCCGCGTATGTAAGCGCGCGCGCGCCCATAGCACCACGCACGCAGGCACAGCGCGAGGAGCCCCGCTCGTACGGGCTCAGGCTCATGGTCATGGTTGCCGAGACCGGGGCGTCGGCGTTACGTGAAGCCGCGAGTGCCCTGGCGTCCTCGATGCAGCCGCAGGTGGCCGCCGTCTTCTTCGTGTCCGCCGCGTGCACGGTGGCGCTGGCCGCCCTGCTGGCCGTGGCGCGCATGCGCCCGCCGTGGTGGTGCGCGTGCCCCGTGTGCGAAGCCTACCTGACGGCGTCGTGGGCCGCCGACTACGACAACCTCTGCGACTGGTACGCGCACCTGCTGCGCACCTCGCCGGCGCAGACCGTCCACGTGCACGTCCTCCGGAACGTGCTCACGGCCAACCCGGCCACCGTCGACCACATGCTGCGCGCACGCTTCGACAACTACCCCAAGGGCGCCCCGTTCTCGGCCATCCTCGCCGACTTCCTCGGCCGCGGGATCTTTAACGTCGACGGGGACGCCTGGCTGTTCCAGCGCAAGATTGCCGCGGCCGAGCTCGCGTCCCCGGCGCTGCGCGCCTTTGCGGTGCGCGTCGTGGCGTCCGAGCTGCGGAGCCGGCTCATCCCCTTGCTCCACTCTGCCTCCCGTGAGGGCCAGGGCAGGGTCCTGGACCTGCAGGACGTGTTCCGTCGCTTCGCCTTCGACTGCATCTGCAAGATCTCCTTCGGTCTCGACCCTGGCTGCCTGGAGCTGTCGATGCCGGTGTCGTCGTTCGAGAATGCCTTCGACATGGCCTCCACGCTCTCTGCCAGGCGCGCCACCGTGCCCATGCACATCATCTGGAAGCTCAAGCGCCTGCTCAACTTCGGGGACGAAAGGAGGCTCCGGGACGCGGTGCACCTCGTGGACACGCTCGCCGCGGAGGTGATCCGGCAGCGTCGCAAGCTCGGGGGCGCCGCCTCGGGCAGCGACCTCCTGTCGCGCTTCATGGGCTCCATCAACGACGACAAGTACCTCCGCGACATCGTCGTCAGCTTCATGCTCGCCGGCCGCGACACCGTCGCCTCGGCGCTGACCGCCTTCTTCCTGCTCCTCTCTGATCACCCGGAGGTCGCGGCCGCCATCCGGGACGAGGCTACCCGCGTAGCCGGCGTCGACGACCGGCTCACGGCCTCCACTTTCAACAAGCTCAAGGGCATGCACTACGTGCACGCCGCGCTGTCCGAGAGCATGCGGCTGTTCCCGCCTGTGCAGTTCGACTCCAAGTTCGCGGCCGGCGACGACACGCTCCCGGACGGCACGGCCGTGGCGAAGGGCACCCGGGTCACCTACCACGCCTACGCCATGGGCCGCATGGAGTCCGTGTGGGGCCCCGACTGCGGCGAGTTCCGGCCCGAGCGGTGGCTCAGGAACGGGCGCTTCGTCCCTGAGAACCCGTACCGGTACCCTGTGTTCCAGGCCGGCGCGCGCGTGTGTATCGGCAAGGAGCTGGCGCTCATGGAGATGAAGGCCGTCATCGTCGCCGTGGTGCGGAGCTTCGACATCGAGGCCATCGACCGGAGCTCCCGCCGGCCCAAGTTCGCGCCGGGGCTGACCGCCACGTTCACGGGCGGCCTGCCAGTGCGAGTGCGCCGGCGAGCACGTGTGAGCGGGCACAACCCGCCAATCTAATGAACGGAATAAAAAAAAACTGGACTGTGCGAGGATACGACCACCCAGACATTATACTAAGAAGAAGATCATCTTACGTAAGCCTAGAAAACCCTCGAATCTTTGCCCTTCATTATACAGCGGCACCGTCGCCCTGTGAGACCGGACCGGTCCTTAGCCCTGTGCTTTGACATGGAACAGACGAGGGGATTTTTTAACCCCAACCTGAAATTCACTTCCACGACGAGTCCAACCCAGAACCCGGAGTACCGCCGGACGAGGTCCGCCGGCTCTAATGAACGGAATAATAAAAAACTGTTGGTGTCACCACGATTCGTCCTTTGCCTGTCATATTTCCCGTTTCATATTCAAACGGAATATTGGTGGTGGATTAGATTTATATCACGCGCCCGTAATCTAGTTGCTGTCGATTGTGGGTGGTGGAGCGATGACTCCGTGGCCACTCCGCCCGGCCGGTGAGTGCGCCGGCACTTGGCAGCACGGTGCGGACGATGCTGTGGAGGATTGGTCAGTCAGCCCACGTCCCCACCCAGTCGTCGTCTCCACTACTATACTAGAATGGCAAATAGATTCCTAGAATTGAATGGAATCGGTCATATCAGGCGCCTGATCTAGCGTAGCGCGAATCGGATTTGGATCAGATAAGGAGGGGACGTCGCCGACTGAAACTTGCACGCTCCACCTGCGATCTCCTTTTTTTCAATCAGAGATCAGAAGATTATTACAGGCAGAAATGGAAACATGGAACTGATGTCATGATCCCGACGCGGTGTTGTGCTTGTTCTTGTTCCCGACCATATGGACCCTTGTCTGTTCGCTTAGATCGTTTCTGTGGCTTATAAACCGGCTGATGTTGTTTTGTTATGAGAGAAAAATACTGTATCATAACTGATAAGTATGGCTGATACGATCAAGCGAATAAGGCAACGCCAACCAAGCCGCGCCCATCTAAACCTGTGGAGTACCAATACCAGTACCAGTGCCACGAGCAAAGGCCATGCGCACGTTTTGTCTGCCTACACAGGAAGATGCCGCAACGACGAATCAGCAGGAAAAAGTCCAGAAAAGAAAGGTGAAGCGGGTTTAGTTTTATGGACTTGCTAGCACCTGAACGTTAGCGAGCGAGCGAGCACCCTAGCACGTCAGGCTTGCGGGCGAGCACACCAGTAGCAGGCCCGTGCCGCCTCAGATGTCGCCCGCGCCGCGCGCGGACGTCGCCTGCGTTGCCAGCCGCTTCCCACGCGCATACCATGTGCAACCCTCGATCTACTTTTTTTAAAACATCTAGATGCAACACTTGCAGCATACAAAGAAGATAGATGAAACATTTCAAACATGCGTATGAAAACACTTGCAAAAACACCTGGATAACACTTAAAAAACCATTGCAAACATATGCAACATCTAAATGAGACACTTGCAACAGACTATGAAATATCTGAAACACTTGAAAAATACACTTGCAACATGCATGTATATGCAACATCCAGATAAAAATACTTACAACATACGACTGATACAGATAAAACATTTGAAACACCTGAAACATACGTGTATATCCATTCAACATGTGCAACATGCCAATATACTTTTGCAACATCCCGATGTACTTTTGCAACACCGATACGAAATACTTGCAACATACCTCTGAAATACCTGAAACATATGTTTGCAATATGCATTTTCAGTGCAACATCTCTTTGCTGCTTGGAAATGGAGGCTCATCCATATGTGAAGTTCACCGGTATAGAGCTCGTAGGTGGGGCGGAGCTCGCCGCTCTGCTGAAGAAGACCACGACAGGTCTGGTGGAGAAGGCCGCAGTGGGTTGCTCCGATGCAGAAGACGGACCACGCGTTGGAGAAGGTTGCGGTGGGCAGCCGTGGTGGGTAGGATGCGCCATGGAGAGGGAGGAAGACGGGCAACCGCGCTGGGACGCGGGAGATGTCTGCCGGCGCTCAGCGCCCAGACACCGTGAAGAACACCGAGGTGGCATGGGGCGGAGCGTGGTCATGGCGCTGCGGTGAAGAGCCTTCTAGAGAGGACGAGTGGACAAGAGGATACGATGTTGGGCTGTTGGACTGGTGTGTGGCCCACGAATGCGACGTCCGGACGATCGCACGGCTGGGTGTAAGCATTTCCGTTAGTTTATGGTTGTACGAGAACTCGCTTTCTCCATGTTCAAAGGATTTGCTTCGCTATGTTTTTCTTTGAGGTCACAAAAACTGAAAAGCATGACATTTAGGCTGCATATATGTGTTTCAAACTATTATTTTGTTTGAAAACATGTAAGTTGTTATAGACATTTGTATTCAGATAGACTAGCTGCAAACTTTCACAAAATTGAAAGAGTTTAAGAATATATTTCAGGAAAACAATTAGTGGTCAAAGATACGCATGGAATATCATGTGAAATCAAAATGTGAAAGAAAAATAGAGAGGCTCTCAAGACCACTATGTGGTAGACGAATTATTTGCCTAGCCAAGAGATAGATATATAGGCTAAGTTGGGTCATAAAAAGTTCCTAGGCTGTGGCTTATTAATTGTTACTACCCTAATGTACTTTTAAGCAACTTTTCACTGAAGACCCACATGGCCACATCATTTTTTTCTAATTTAGTAAAGGCTCCAAGGTGGGGGTAGGCGATATGGAGCACCCAACCACTCTCTCGAGCCCTCTCTTATAAGAGGAACATCAAGAGCCTCTAACTTTGATCTCTATCTATTTGGAGAGCCATCCCATGAATATTCTCTCTTGGTATTTCTCATGTCCCCAGTAGACTCTCTAACTTTGATTCTCTATACTCCAAAGATTTATCATAATTTTTCTTGCATGAAAAATCACAAGAAAACTACCTGTCGTCACAAAAAACGTGTTGACACGTAGCAAGCCGGAAGGATCTGCTTGGGATGAGCCCCGGAGATCCACTTGGCTTCAACGCAGGACCAGCCAATCCTGTGAATTCCCGAAGGCGTGCCAGCCAATTTGACCTGCAATTGACCAGGAGAGAAGGTTTATCGGTAATTTAAGGTGAAACATGCCGGTTTTGCCCATACAGTTCCAAGTGTGCCGCTTCGGGAGCAGAGAGACGGGAAAATCGACTAAATAGCTGATACGAGAAGAAATCAACTGTTAAGGACTATAACACTCATGGGTCATGACTGATTTTATAGTAACGAATGCAATGTGCCCAAATATAAGTAACATCATTAGCTAGATAAGTATAACCGGTGTAAAGCGTCGAGCCGATAAGTTTAACGAGAAAGGATATAACATGCGAATAAAATCGACTGTCTAGTACAAATGGATCTACAAACGCTCTGAATCTAATTTGCTACCATCAACAGTGAGGTTCGACCGGATCGATGCAGCTATGATGATAACAACAAACTAAAGCCAAAGAATCCATAAAACCATCTATACGTTGATAGGTTTTTGAAAGACATGCTATATGTGTGAAAGCACAGACAAATCGGCTGAAAATAGCCGATTCAGGTAGAAAAAGGATCATAGCATGAGAACAATCAACTATTTAATACGAACAGGTCTATAAACTCATCAAATCTAGACTATTATCTTTAACAGTGGGGTTCGACCGGATTGATGGCAGCCATAATAAAGATAACAGATTAAACCTTTAAAGTAAACAGATCTATTGACATTTAACAGGATCACGAAAACATACTATGAGTGTTAAAGTGCGGACGATCGGCAATTTAGCCGATGCAAGCATAACAAACATCCAAGATCATGCCTGGTCGAAAGCAAGTCTACCAGCTAACATACTCCGATCTAAAATACTGTCGATGTTTCACCACCGATAGCCTGCCACGGGGGTTTCCGGGGCAGTTTGTTCGGGCTTCGACATATGCAGAACTCGACGGTAAACGCAAGAGACAGTCGATTTATCCTGGTTCGGACCCTCGATCGTGATCGAGTAATAGCCCTATGTCCAGTCGACGTTAGCATTTGCGTTGGATTGATTGTCAAGTGTTCTCTCTTTTCCTCCAGGAACCCCGCCCTCCTTTATATAGTCAGGAAGCCAGAGTTCTAGTCGGTTTACAATGAGAGTTTCTAGTAGGATTACAGAATAATACTACTACTAAGATTACATGAAAAGAATCCTAGTTAGACTAGATCTTCTCCCTTCCTTGTGGGGTATCCCGTGGGTCCCGTATCGACAAGCCCCCGAGCACTTCATGGTTGAGCTCTGGAAGCCTTGTCTTGTTCCTTCAGGTCTTGCCGAGCAGGAACAAACGTCGTCCGAGTGCTTTCTTGAGTGAAACCATGTAGCACTTCTTGGGATCTTTGAGTGGTGTGTGCTTTTTTGAAGAAAAAGTACACCCATCTAGGTGTAGCCCCTAAGCCTCTTGCTATTTGGAACAAGGAGCTAGAGGGTCTTGTCTTGAAATTGCTCTGATTCTTCATCAAAGGGCTCTCGAGCATATACCCGGGTTATTTATCAAAAAGAACTCGGATATAGCTCGATCCGGGTTCTTTTTGTCGTAAGGCCTTGAGGTGGTCTGTCTTGAAGAAGTCTTCTTGGTGACGTGTGTTTTTTCGAAGAAAAAAGTGCACTCACTGAGTGTAGCCTCCGAGCATCTTGCTATTTGGAACAAAAGTTGGAGGGTCTTGAATCTTATGTTGTTTGAAAACTGCTGTCTTGAAGAAGTCTTCTGAGTGATGTGAGCTTTTTTTGAAAAAAGTGCACTCACTGAGTGTAGCCCCCGAGCCTCTTGCTATTTGGAACAAAGAGTTGGAGGGTCTTGAATCTGAGTTGTTCAAAGAACTAAAACCCTCTCCTGTTGCAGCCCCTGAGCATATAAAAATAGTTGAAGTCTTGACTGGTAAGTTGGTGACGGCTACTGAGAACTGGAATGCTTTGTGGAAATCATTTCGGTCAGTAGTCGATCTTCTCCGGACTCCAACAGATGATGGTCAATCTTGGGCTCAGTTTATTCCCCAAGTTTTGGCCCGTTTCCAAGAGTTCGTAAAGAGGT